CCGGTCTCAAACTCGTGGCCTCAAGTGATCCGACCACCCAGCCTCCCAAACTCAGCCTCCCAAATTGCTGGGATTACAGGCTGACCCACCGCACCTGGTCTCGACCCCACAGATTCTAACTTGAATAATTTCCATTGCCCTGGGCTCTCACATTCCAACTGAATTTCATTTATGATTTTTATCTTCCTAATGATCTGTTAACTTGTGTATATATCTCTTCTTTCATCGGGAGAGGCATTGGAAGGAAAAGAGTAAGATAAAATTTGGCTTCTGATTGAATGGCTTTCTTGTGTCCAAAGTTTTGACTCTCATCTTGCGTCCCAAGGACACGGCTCTCTTGGCAGCTCTGAGGAGGCATCTGGACTGTGCCTAGAAACACCTTGGTTTTGGAGTCAGAGCTGGTTGTCAGAGAAAAAAAAAGAGGGGCCCTGTTGAGTGGTTTATGCCTGTAATCCCAGCACTTTGGGAGGCTGAGGCAGGTGGATCGCTTGAGATCAGGAGTTCGAGATCAGCCTGGCTAACATGGTGAAGCTCTGTCTCTACCAAAACAATACAAAAATTAGCCGGTCGTGGTGGCATGCGCCTGTAGTCCCAGCTACTTGGAAGGCTGAGGTGGGAGAATCACTTGAACCTGGGAGGCGGAGGTTTCAGTGAGCTTTGATTGCACCGCTGCCCTCCAGCCTGGGTAACAGTGAGACACTGTCTCAAAAAAACCAACACGAAAAGTGTTGTCATGAAATGAGGCCAAATGAGTATACCATGCATGGTGATACTGTCTTGGGCTAAGTACAAATTTACATACCCGCCTTCTAAGTAGAAACTGACCAAGCATGTGAGGAAGGGGTCCGTGGAAGATTGTTGGGGACCTTTGCAAGGTTCATAAGAGAGAAGCTCTTTGGGGCAGGCTCCGTAGGGTCTCTGGTTTGCAGCTCTTCTCAGTTCCTTTGATGATGCACTGGTCGATTTCCAGGTCCTTAGCGAGGGGGGTTTCTCTCACTGCACACAGAATAGGGTGCCACTGCTTTTCACCATCTGTGACACTTGCACAGCTCTGCAACAGAATGTTCCGCTTAGAATGTGGAGGGTCCTTTCCGTTGCTAGTACTTAGCAAGACAAACATCGGTTTGTTGTTGAGACGGCAATTGATTAGGGAGTCTATGTTTCAGTGAAGCTTGACTGCTTGGAAACCAGCCCAAATTGAGAAGCCAGTTGGAAAACCTCAGCCCAGATGTTTTCAATAAGCCCTTTGTTCTCCACAATGGATCTGAAGTGCTCTCCTTTGAGTCCTGTCCGGCAGCCATGACAGCAGACACGTTTGAGCGGGGCCTGCACGTCGGGAGACTGGCCCGGGGTCCTTCTCAACCTTGAAGAGCCTCTGTTTCTCTCCTTGGTTTTCTAATCTCTCCAATGGGAATGTTTTTATTTGTTTTTCTCTTGCATCATGGAAGCAGTAGAATTCATTGCTTTTCTGACTGGAAGAAGGAAGGGGAAAAGGAGGTTGAAAGTGTACCAGGCACATACCTTACCTCATCAAGTCTCCATGGCAACCTGTTTGCTCAGCATCATTATTTTGGCTCTAAAAATGCGAAGCAGGTGTTGAAGCCGTTGACCGCGTTATACAGTGGCCCAGTACGTGGCAGATGGAACTTGAACTCAGGTTTGTTTGTCTCTGGCTGCTACTCTGTAGACTCCTAAAAGGAGCTGTGAGAAAAATGAGAGGTTTAGTTTTGTTTTCTTTCATTTTGCAGTGGCACTTTTAAAAATCACGATTTTAAAACCCTCTAGTGCTTTATAAAATTTTTAATTGTGGCAAAACGTGCATCACATAAAACTTGCTACCTTAACTATTTTTTCTTCGGAGAAAGGGTCTCACGGTCACCCAGGCTGGAGTGCAATGGCACAATCACAGCTCACTGCAGCCTCAACCTTCTGGGCTCAAGCAATTCTCCCACCTCGGCCTCCTGAATAGTTGGGACTATAGGCACGCACCACTATGCCCAGCTAAATGTTTTGGTTTTTAGTAGCGATGAGGTCTCACTATGTTATCCAGGCTGGCCTCAAACTCCTGAGCTCAAGTGATCCTCCCACCTTGGCCTCCCAAAGTGTTGAGATTACACACATGAACTACGCCCAGCCCAGCCTTAAACAATTTTTTTTTTTTTTGAGACAGAGTCTCGCGCTGCCGCCCAGGCTAGAGTGCAGGGGCGCAATCTTGGCTTACTGCAACCTCCGCCTCCTGGGTTCAAGCGATTCTCCTGCCTCAGCCTTCCAAGTAGCTGGGACTACAGGTGCACACCACCTCGCCCAGCTAATTTTTTGTATTTTCAGTAGAGATGGGTTTCACCGTGTTAGCCATGATGTGCTCGATCTCCTAACCTTGTGATCCGCCTGCCTCGGCCCCCCAAAGTGCTGGAATTACAGGTGTGATCCACCACACCCGGCTGACCTTTTTCAGTGTACAGTTCAGTAGTGTTACATATGTCCACGCCGTGGTGCAGCTGTCATCACCGTCATCTCCAGGACTTTGCCATCTTGCAAAACCGAAACTCTGTACCAGTTAAACAACCCTCTTCATTTCTTTCTCATGCCAGGCCGTGGCAGCCACCATTCTACTTTCTGTTTCAGTCAATTTGACTCCTCTAGATACCCCATATAAGATTTGTCTTTTGGGACTGGCTTATTTCACTCAGCATAATGTCTTCATGAATCATCCATATTGCAGCAGGTTTCAGTGTTTTCTTCCTTTTGAAGGCTAATATTCCATTGTATGGATAGACCACGTTTTGTTGGTGGACACTTGCGTTGCTTCCACCTCTTGGCTATTTTGAATAATGTTGTTATAAACACAGGGGTGCTGATATCTCTTAGGAACTCTGTTTTCAATTCTTTGCTGGATCATATGGTAATTTTTTATTTTTTAAGGAAACAACCTTCCTTTCCTCTCCTCTCTCCTCCTTCCCTTTCTCCTACCCTTTCCTTTCTTTCATTTCGTCTCACTTTGTCACCCAGCCAGAGTGAGATGAGGTCCACCGCTGGAGTGCAGTGGTGCGATCTCCGCTCACTACAACCTCTGCCTCCTGGGTTCAAGTGATTCTCCTGCCTTAGCCTCCTGAGTAGCTGGGATTACAGGTGTGCACCACCACACCTGGCTAATTTTTGTACTTTTAGTACCCACAGGGTTTTAGCATGTTGGTCAGGTTGGTCTCAAACTCCTGACCTCAGGTGATCCACCCGCCTCGGTCTCCTAAAAGTGCTGGGATTACAGGCGTGAGCCACCGCACCTGGCTCACCATGCTGTTCTCTATAGCAGCTGCACCATTTTGCATTCCCATCAGCAGTGCACATGGGTTCTAATTTCCACATCCTCGCCAGCACTGCCGTTTTCTGGTTTTTTTTTTTTTGATAGTGGCCACCCTAAGGGTATGAGGTGGTGATTCACTGTGGTTCACCCTCCAGCACTTTGCACACTGAATTCTCTACTTAGTGCAAGTGAGGTTAAAAAGGAAAAAAAAAGGTAAGCACAGTCCCATGGCAGCCTCTGGAACATGACGAGGTGGCTCTGTGGGCCAGTCTGGCTGGGCTGTCTCTGAGTCAGTGATGGGAAACATTGGGAAGTGAGAAGAGCACTGGACAGAGCACGGCACAGGCTTCTGGGCTCAAGGGGCAGTGGGATAATCATGTCACCTCATCCCCTTGGTACAGTATAGGAAAACCAAGGAGATGCTACATGTGAAAATGCCTTAAAAACCTCAAACCAGGCCGAGCACAGTGGCTCACACCTGTAATCCCAGCACTTTGGGAGGCCGAGGTGGGTGGATCATGAGGTCAGGTGATTGAGTCTATCTTGGCCAACATGGTGAAACCCCGTCTTTACTAAAAATACGAAGATTAGCCGGGTGTGGTGGTGCATGCCTGTAGTCCCAGCTACTTGGAAGGTGGAGGCAGGGGAATTGCTTGAATCCCAGAGGTGGAGGTTGCAGTGAGCTGAGGTCGCACCACTGCACTCCAGTCTGGCAACAGAGCAAGACTCGGTCTCACAAAAAAAGAAAAAAAAAAACCTTTTACCTTCAGTGGCAAGAGAGTTTAGTTTTTCCCTGAGGGGTCCAAGTTCAGCCTCTGCTACGGATCGAAGGTGAGACTGGCTAGTGCTATAATCAGTGTCACTAAAACGTCGATAATAAAATATCATCATCACTATTTTTCAGCTACCGTGGCCAGCAGTGCTTCATAGTGTCTCTCATCTGCACGCAGCTGTGCAGCTGAAGTGTCATTGTTAGCTCTGCTCTACTGACAAGCCAAAGGGCCCTTAACCAAGATCCTACAGCCAAATGGCTGAACGAGAACTCAAACCCAGCTTGGTACCCCAAGCCTCACTCTTTCCACTATCCCGTGCGACTTCTGGGCTTAAGTCTAATTTCTGTCCTAATCATGTTAACCCGCCACATCCCCAGATCGCATCAGCTGCTTCCTGTGGTGTGGGGATCCAGGTGGTCCAGAGCTGTGTACAGTATCATAAGATAATAAAAATTAAGTGATGGCCACACACAGCTGCCAAAATTAGAGACAAACTCTCTTTCCATATAAGACACTGTTGCCCCACAAAGTCTCAGACCTGCATTGATGCAGCGCTTGGTTTCTCTCCTGTGCCTCCTCAGGGCCCATCTGGTTGGACAATCTCCACTGTACCGGCAAGGAGGCGACACTTGCAGCGTGCTCCTCTAATGGCTGGGGCGTCACCGACTGCAAGCACACAGAAGACGTCGGTGTGGTGTGCAGTGACAAAAGGATTCCCGGGTTCAAATTTGACAATTCGTTGATCAACCAGATAGAGGCAAGTCATGTGCTCTCGATGTCCGCTTCATGCAAACGTTATTCCTCCTCCATGCAACTTGCTTTTTCCGTATTGATTTCAAGAAGTGTGTGTGAGCAGAAGGAGTTACCTAACCCAATGGGATTAGATGCAGGGGCAGTTTAGGGAAGGATTTCTGGAGAAGGGAATCCCATCCATGGAGAAAGGCATTCCAGGCACAAGGAACAGGCTGGGCAGAGGCACAGAGGTGTGAACTTTGGGCTGGGATAAGCAGAGCATGATCTCAGGTGGAGTGCCTCTGGGAGTAGAGTGAACTAAAGCTGGAAAGATGGGCATGAAACACCTGCTGTGCCATGTTCAGGAGCTTGCCCTTTGGGTGGGAAAATGTATTCGTTATCAATTGCTGCATAACAAATTGCCCCCAGATTTTGCAGCTTAAAACAATGAGTCTTTATTATCTCACCCGGTTTCTGAGAATCAGGAATTGAGCAGCGGCTTAGCTACTTGATTCTGCTCAGGGCATCTCATGGTGTTGCATTCGGGCTGTCAATGGGATCTGGAAGGTCCCCTCCCACGTGAGGTCCTATGGTTGTTGGCAGGCTGTGGTTTCTTGCCAGCTGTAGACTGCAGCCCTCTGTTGGTCTCTATGTGGCCCCTCCATAGGCTGCTGAGCGGCCTCGTTACATGGTAGTTGTCTTCCTTCAGAGTGAATGAGCCAAAGGAGAGTGAGAGAAAGCACACATGGAAGTCATCTTTCATAACCTAATCTTGGAAGTGATATGCCATCTTTTCTGCTGTATTCTGTGGATCACACGGACTAGCCCTGGTAGAGTGTGGGAGGAGATTGCACAAGGGGTGGCACAGGTAGGATGGCTGGGGCTGTCTGGAAGCTGGCTACCGCTGGCCTGTGTGGCTGAGGATCGGCATCACTTCACAAATGCAGGTACTGGGGCCTCCTCCCTGACCTACTGACTGAGAATCTCCTGCTATGGGACCAGGTTGTTTTTCTTTAAGCGGCCCCAGATGATTCTTATGTTGCCAGAATGACCATTTCAGCTTTTGTAAATGGTCAACAGGGCTTATGACCTTTCTACATTTATGGCTAAATTTCAGGGTTAGCTTTCCAGCAAATTCTTTACCCAAACAATTAAATTAACACACACTTACTACATTACTCTTTTTTTTTTTTTTTGAGATGGAGTTTTACTCTTGTTGCCCAGGCTGGAGTGCAATGGTGCGATCTCAGCTCATTGCAGCCTCTGCTTCCTGGGTTCAAGTGATTCTCCTGCCTCAGCCTCCTGAGTAGCTGGGATTACAGGAGTGTATCACCATGCCCAGCTAATTTTTGTATGTTTCATAGAGACGGGGTTTCTCCATGTTGATCAGGCTGGTCTCAAACTCCCAGTCTCAGGTGATCCGCCTGGCTCGGCCTCCCAGAGTGCTGGGATTACAGGTGTGAGTTACCACACCTGGCCTACATTACTCTTCTGGGCAACATTTGTGGGGCTTAGGACAGGAGGAGTTGGTAGCTAACACTCCTTTCCTCAAGGAACATGTTGGACATCGCCCCCAAGGGATTGTGGGATCTGCCCCAAATCCAGGCCAAGGAACCTTCGCTGTGCTTCAGCCTCCTGTTGACCCCAGCACTAATGCAGAAGGTGATGAGATTGCCCTATTTGGGCCCCAGAGGAAGTTCTCTAAGACTGTTGTCTTTACTGTCATGACTCACACAGTCCTTCTCTCTCCATGTACGTTCCCAAGTGTGCTAGGGATTTGTCCAAGCCTGCATTATAGCATGGAAAAGGATTTCCAGGCTTCTCTCAGCTGCAAGGAGGAGACTGCTGGTCGACACCTGGCAAATGCTGCTATTTTTTTGGAGATAAATAGATTGTGATGGAGTTGATGTACTTTCTTCAGTCTTCATCTTCTGGTCACTGATGACAGCTTTGCTTTCTCTTTTTTTTTTTTTTTTTTTTTTTTTTTTTTTTTTTTTTTTTTTTTTTTTTTTTTTTTTTTTTTTTTTTTTTT